GCAGCTATGATGTGCTCTAGAAGATTAACTTCCTAGATTTTTAGATTGCTGCAGTTTTAGAATGTATACCCATATACATTTATGTACATGAATATGAATCCAAATGTCCCTACCTCTAACACAAGAATAGATACCATAAAAATTTTAGGAAAAAAACAGTGTGTGTGTGTGTGTATGTGTATATATATACACATATACATATATACTAAGACATATATATATATATGTCTTAGTTCTTGCCAGCATATCACTTCTCTAGCTCAGAGAGTGACAAACTACAACCCTCAGGCTAAATTCAGCCCTCTGTTTTGTAAATAAAGTTTTATTTTCACACAGTCACACCTCTTCATTCACCTATTGTTTTATGGCTGCTTTTGTGTTACAGTAGCAGAGTTGAATAATTACTATGGAAAACATAAAGCTTGCAAAAGTCCAAATATCTACCATCTGGCCTTTAATAGAAAAACCTTGCCAACCACTGGTTTAGCTAGAAAGTCCAACACATACTAATACAAAATATATGAACAAATGTCACTAACTAGAAAATAGGACAGCAAGCAATGAATTGTCTAATTGCCTTGTAAAAGCAATAATTACAACCAATATTTCATGATGAAATAAATCAGCATTAGCTGGCTTCATTAGAAAATGTTTCATGGCAGAAAAATGAATTGAGCTGGGACATCAAGGAAGGTTAATGTAAAGATACTGATGATGAAATTCTAGGGGAAGAAAAGTACATCATGTGGAGGTGGAAAAGAATAAACTATAGGTATTCAGGGAATGATGAGAAATACCTTTTAGTATGTACACAATGTGTATGTAGAAGGAAAGTGGTAGATGAGGCTTGGAAGATAGATTCGTGTTTTAGAAAGAGAGGTGGGTATATCTGGGACAGTATCACGACGTACCAGTTACATAGCCATAGCAGTCATTCAAAGGTGAGGAAATGAATTTGGAAATACGTTGGAAGAGTAGAGGTAAAAAGAAAGGAAACACATATTAGACAAAATCTGTACAATACTTGAGAAATGATTAAATATGGCAGTGAAAAAGAAATAAAAAAATGCTTTGGAGTACAAATTTTGTGTGTTTGGAAGGTTGATGACTTCTGTTTTGTTTTTTGTTTACTTGCTTTTAGAGACAGTCTTGCTCTGTGGGTCAGGCTGGAGTGCAGTGGTATGATCATAGCTCACTGCAGCCTCAAAATCCTGGGCTCAAGGGATCCTCTTATCTTGGCCTCCCAAAGCACAGGGATTACAGATGTGAGTCACCACACCTGGCCTTGATCACTTCTTTAACAAAAGTAAACAGAGAGTGGATCAGAATGAAGATCTGGAGGGTAAATGGTAGTAGCAGGGAAACCAGTCTGACTAGTGCTGAGGAGTCTTGAGGGGAAATATTAATAGTAGGAGATAAGGCTGAGACTTTGTGAGATAGACTGTGGGAAGTCATTCTTTTTTTTTGTTTGTTTTTTTTGTTTTTGTTTTTCCAGTAGAGATGGGACCTACCTGTCTTGCCCAGGCTGGTCTCTATCTGCTGGACTTAAGCAATCCTCCCGCTTCAGCCTCCCAAAGTTCTGGGATTATTGGTATGCCTAGCCCTAAATTTCTAAACCAGATATGATCAAGTATGTGTTCTAAAAAGATAACTCTATGTAATGCAGGGAGTCTAGATATCAAAGATTCGTTAGGAGTTTCATGTAACAATCTATGCAGGAAATGGAGAAAACCTAAATTGAGCCAGTGACCATAGAATGGAAGAGAATTGAGTAGTGGGTTAGTGTATAGAAACTTAAGCACCTTGGGGTAAGAACTCATCCATTATTATATCTCTGCTTTTTTTTTTTCACAGTGTTTTAAACAACTAGGTGCTTCATAATGTTTTATTCAATGCATAAATAAAAGGTAGGGGGTATTACAGGTGTATCTCTAAGGTTTTATATTTTGTCAGTTTGAGTTTAGACAATATGAATTATTTGGTGAATCCAGTCTGCCCAGCTGTATTTATATTTCATCTGTTAAGATTTGTTATAGCATTCCATTGATCAATGGCTTTTCCATCTTTTGGATACAAATAGATGAAATAGGCTTGGCTTTGGTAGAAGTTTGCAGCCTCTGCAATCCTACTGGATTTTGCAGTAGTGTCTCTTATAAAATAGCTACTTACTATCTAATTATAATAGATATGTCTTATAAGGCTTTGTGGGCCATGTGGTCTTTATTGAAGCTGTTCAATTCTACTATTGCAGTATGATAACAACCATGGCTAATATGTAAACCAATGCACATGGTTATGTTTCAATAAAACTTTATTTACAAAAACAGTCAGTGGACCAGATTTGTTTTATGGGTTACTGTCTGCTAATCCCTGCTTTCTATAAAAATGTGAGTATTATGAACAGTATTTTTAAATTTGGTAATTGGAATAGGTAGCTGTGTTCAAGCACTTGTTTGGAAAGAAACTTTGAAATAATATTGTTGAATCCTTTAAAGTGAGAAGAGATGAAAATGAAAAGTAAGAATTCTTGGTGGATTTTTCATTCTGTGAAGCACAAAATATTGTGAATTATACATTACAGCGTTATTAATAAGACATTGGGCTACAAAGTCAATGCATTTTTTTAATTTTAGTATGTACATAGAAACTTAATATCTTTGCTTTTAAAAAGTATTTTTTTTTTCATAATTATAGGGTGTTGAGAAGAGTTGGTATGATTCTGGCCTAAAAATAATATGCTCAAAGTGAAATTCAAGTACCTACCATTAGACTGTTACGGATTATGCTTTTAATTTTCCCGAGAAATAGCATTTCCTATGGTAGTGTTTTTGAACAAACTTCTTTTTCCTTCTGCTCTTCCCTTTTACTCCTCTTTCTTTTTTCTTTTCTCCTTCCTCATTTTACTTTATTTTATTTTTTCAGATATGGGGGAATTTGGGTTTTCTCTTTCTATCTACCTGACTGGGTAACCTTGACTTGATATATGACACTTAACACTGCCTCTTACTCACTCCTCCTCCTGTCCTACAACACCTTTCTGCCTTTCCTTCCCACCTACTTTCTTGCTTCTCTAACTTGTGATTCCTTAGGGACTTCAATTATTATAACAGAAAATCGAAAGATAACAAAGAACAAAAAAATAACTACTTACTCTGTGTGATAAAGGAATTGCGCTAGAAAGGAATCTCTAGAACAATAGCTTCTACTCTTTTCTAATATTTTTTGTTCTTAATTTTCTTAGGAGAACGAGTTGTTCGTGAGTCTCTTATTTTCCTCTATTTATTTATTTATTTATTTATTTATTTATTTATTTATTTACTGTTTTTAACAAATACAAAGACACTATTACTTTTATCATCTTGATGTGAGGAATGTTAAAAATTGCCAAAAACTGCATTGAATATTTATCAAATCAGTTCATGTCTTATATCCTCTACACTTTTATTATCTCTTTGATTTGTATTCTTTGTGTTTTAAAACCCCACAGGACTGCTATTTACTTCTGTAAGGGGGAGGAAATTTCTTTCCTCTATCCATCTCAGGTTCATGGCTGAGGTCTATAACGAAAGACAGATTAACAAGAAAAGTACACAAACTTAATACACGTATTATATGACACAAGAGCCCTCTGAGGAAATAAAGACCTGAAGAAATGGTTAAAATCTGGGTAGTTTTATGCTAGGAGGTATTATCTGATGGTAATAAACTGGGGAAAAATTAGCAAGGCCTGTTTGTTCAGATTCTTTTCTGTGTCCCTCTGTCTTCAGACATAAGGATGTTCCTTTCCTCGGGGCTTAGGAAGGGCACCTCTACATGAGAGTTTGTAATCTGCTTCAGGGGAGGTCAGAAAATCCTTTCTAGTTTTCATGACCTGTTTCAGGAAAGAGGAGTGGAGGGAAGTCACAGAGACCTTCCTGCTTCTGTCATTTTCCAGTGGGCAAAGGTGGCATATTTGGGGCATGTGTCAACCCTATCACTACTTCGAGCAAGGGGACATGGTTGGAAGATACCACTCATGAGTTGAAAGCTAACATTTTCTTGATGGGGCTGCGAGAATAACTCGTTTCTGCCTTCAATTCAGTAGCCTAGTTCTAATGACTTTTTTCTACTAGATAGGCTCTATAAAAATAAGATTAAAGATACTAGATAAATTAAAATCTTATCCAAAAGACACAATGACAGCACAAGAAACATAAAATTCAAAATGTCTCAAGACATTCGATGCCATCACAGAATGACATTAAGCTGCAAAATTTAATATTCTGTTCTCAATTTGAAAAATCATAACTTATTTATACAAGGGAATTGAGTAAGTATGTACAAGTGGAGCGATCCTTAGCCATGGAATTAGCTAATACAGAAAAAGTAACAAAGAAGTAGATGACTTAATCATGAAGACAGACAGACATTTCTTCACATAGGCCTCATCTGAAGAAGAGTACGCATTTGAAGGAAAGGTATATACGTAACAGCAGTTTCCTAGGAAGCATTTAAAAGTGGTGTGCCAAGGCAAGAACTGTAACCTCCGCCTCCCGGGTTCAAGCGATTCTCCTGCCTCAGCCTACTGAGTAGCTGGGACTAGAGGTGTGTGTCACCACGCTCAGCTAATTTTTTGTATTTTTAGTAGAGATGGGTTTTCACGGTGTTAACCAGGATGGTCTTGATCTCCTGACCTCATGATCTGCCTGCCTTGGCCTCCCAAAGTGCTGGGATGACAGGCGTGAGCCACTGCACCCGGCCACTACCTCTAAGCAATAGGATGCATGCCATTTGTCTGAGAGAGAATTGATGGAGTTTTCTTAGTTATCTTTGAAATAATGTTTTTATTAATATAATTCCTGTGTATGATTGTCTATTATTGTCATATTAATCACCCTACTAATGGGTTCTATGTAGGAAACTGTACTTTGAATCATTAGGTGAATAACCCCTGTCAACCTCACAGGTTCCCTAATACATTCTTCCTTCCTCACTGTTCATATTTCACTGTGTAATTACAGCTCCCAATCCTTGTGCAGCTAATGACGGCAAAGGCCCCTGCTCTCACATGTGTCTAATCAATCACAATAGGAGTGCTGCATGTGCATGCCCCCACTTGATGAAGCTTTCTTCAGACAAGAAGACCTGCTATGGTAAATTTCTTATAGTTCTAATCAAAAATAAAAATAAAATTGAATTCTCTCAAATTATATTAGCATTCAGATTTTACTCATATTAAAATAGAGGAAGTTTTTTTTCTGTTTTCAAAAATATTTTAGGTGGTGGTGCTATTTCTAGCCACTATTGATGATTCATCTGCTCTGGGGAAAACTGGCAAATTCTTTAAATATGTGACATGTTATACTTCGTTATTTATTACCTTACTCATTTTTTTTCTTCCTACTTTCTTATTTGATACGTTAGCAGAATTTATCTCCGCAAAACAGGAAGATTTTTAAGTGAGAGTGCATTATCAGAAAATGATAATGTAGGTAACCTGCATAACAAAGAGGTGCTTAACAGCTTTAATCTGCTCTTCTAAAGTCATTCTAGCATCATTTGGTAGAGAATTATCAACCCGAAAGGGGAAAAAGTGAAGTAAAATATATAACTTGGAAAAATTTGTAAAAAAAAAAAAAAAAAAACACATTTAAACAATGCATTTGAACTGAAAAAGATAAATTTTGTGAATAAAAATTTTTGCTTTCTGTTAATAATTGTATTTATTTGCAAAACATTACTTAATTTTAAGTACAGAAAAAAATATCAAAATTTAAGTCAGGCATTTAGGTACCTGTAGCGTTAATTTACATAATAATAACATATCTCAACACCAATAAACTAAGGCAACAACAAAAAAAAATAGAATATCTGTAACTACTATTTACATTTGCTCTGATATTTTACAAATGTAGTGCAAGGAAGGCGTCTATGGAAGTAAAAGTGATATAATGGCTCACAATGTTAGTTACCACAGATTTACAAAAAATTACACTAAAAGCATGCTTTAAATTATTTGAGCCCTAATTTTTATAGGAAAAATATATATGAGATTTCTAATAGCATGTTTAGTTTTATCTTATTCAAAGACAGTATAGAAAAACTGTTCTTGGAGTCCCTCAAAATCTTGCCATGGAATACAATATTGTAATTATGTACAAAGTACAAATATGGTATTTGACACTTGGAGTTTATGTAGTTTAGCAACTTTGAAATTCTAAGGTCACTGAGAATTGATTACTGAGAATATCTGGGTGTTTCTAGCCAAAGAAAAATGATGATGTAAGGCTTCTAACTCATTTTACATTTGTTTCTATTAAATACCTTAATTTAAAATAGATAAATTGTTACTTCATTGTTTCCATCAAGTATTGATTATGATGTTCAGGAGTTAACATGTATTAAATCAAGTAATATTTTAGAATTTCTAGACTATTTCAAGCTTGCCAACTTCATAAGAGAAAAACAATTTCTATTTCTTTTTTAGAAATGAAAAAATTTCTTCTTTATGCAAGACGTTCTGAAATCAGAGGAGTGGATATTGACAATCCATATTTTAACTTTATCACGGCATTTACAGTTCCTGATATTGATGATGTTACTGTGATAGACTTCGATGCATCTGAGGAACGTTTATATTGGACAGATATTAAAACACAAACCATTAAACGAGCTTTTATTAATGGAACTGGGTTAGAAACTGTTATTTCAAGAGGTAAAAGATTTGTACATGTTATAACTTTAAAAATGTTTGTTATTCAATTTGTAATAATCACAAGTCTTTTATATTATTTCTCTATTACTCAACTCTATGCTGTTAATTGAAAGTTAGAATTGAATAGATATTTAATAATATGCTACACCCTTACAATTGTAGAATGTTATAATTAAATTGCACAGAGCAGACTGATAATTGGAAATTTACATTCATGTGAAGAAAAACTTCAGAACAGATCACCTTAAAATTTAGATTTCTCAGCTGGGCATGGCGGCTCATGGCGGTAATCTCAGCACTTTGAGAGGCCGAGTCAGGAGTTTGAGACTAGCCTGAAGCAACATGGTGAAACCCTGTCTCTACTAAAAATACAAAATTAGTCGAACGTGGTGGCATACACATGCAATCCCAGGTACTTGGGAGAGTGAGGCAGGAGAATCACTCGAACCCGGGAGGTGGAGGTTGCAGTGAACCAAGATCATACCACTGGACTCCAGCATGGTCAAGAAGAGCAAAACTCCATCCCTCCAAAAAGTAAAAAAATAAAAATTTAAAAAAATTTACATGTCTAAATAAGCAGACTTAAAGCCTCTTTCTTGCTGATGGAGGAATAGTTACATTTGCATAGATAAAATATAGGATATTAGGAAGGACTGGCTTAT